GTATGAGGAACCTGTGCTGGGAAGAGAAATGCGGCCTTAAAAAAAAAAAAAAAAAAAAAAAAAAAAGAAAGAAAAAGAAGAAAAAGAAAAAGAAAAGAAAAAAGAAAACAGTTTAGCCCAAAGCCCAAAGCGTGAGAGCCACCAGCGAGTTGTTATCTGCGGCTGAAGGCTGTGGTAATCGATGGGTTATTTTTACGCGGTAATAGGGCCCTGTGATTGCTCTATTAACCTTTAGACCTGTCTGAGGGACTCTCCCCTCACGGCCCCACTGCGCCAGGCCCTACAAGCCCTGACGCCAACTCCAAACTCAGGTCTGACACCCTCCCTGCCCCCACGGGAGGTGGCTACAGCCCCTGGAAGGGCTTTAACGTTGGAGACAGGCTCTTCACCCCCACTTCGTCCTTCTGATTTGACCCCGGCCGCTGAGAGTTGCTGAGAGAACAGGGACCGATGAGAAGGAACAGGAGGCCCCAGGAGTTGGAAACAGTGGGGCTGGGAGTGCGCGTTTTGTATAAATACATAAACTCCTGGACTGGTGGCCGGTTCTCGGCGCCTTGCAGTCTCCACCAGCTGGTGGGAAGGTGAAAAGGACTCTTGAGTCCCTAAGCACCGACCTAAAGATCCATTTCGGGTTTTAGTACCTCCTGGCCCTCTCCGAAGTGTATTTCTGGGGCTAGGTAGATCTGAAGCCAAGCAGGTACCTTCGGTGACCCAGTGCGCCACAGGCGATCAAGAGCCCAGCTCGGGAGGTCGCTTTTGCCCTCTACCAGCCCCGCCCCTTGCCCACCGCAGCTGGCCGTGGACCACTGAGGGTGGAAGGAAAGAGAAGGAACTAGTGAATAAAACTATCCTTGACGGAGCAGCGCGCCGCCAGGACGTCAGGCTGCAGGGTGGGTAGAGCCTGGCGCCGGTACTGAGCGCTTTGGTTCTCCGAGATCCGCGCGCGTGGACTTTGCCTGCTGGGGGAGCTTTCGGCACAGCCCCGAAGGCGGACGCCGGGCGGAGGTGCTGCTACGGCCGCTCACCCCCGCCCCCTGTCCTTGCACGTGACTCCCTTAGGCCAGTCAGCGTAGGCGATCCCAGCGCGGGGGCCCGGAGAACGGCGGCGCCGGGAGCAAGGGACAAGCGAAAGGCAGGCAGAGTGGCCGCTTGAGGCTCTGCCGCCGTTGCAACTGCGCGGGCGCTGGGAGAGCGCGCTGGCTCTTCGAGAGGCTGGAGCTGGGCAGGTAGGGCTCCCCCACTCCTTGCTGGGCAGGGGAAACTCAGCAGACCGTCACCCTAGTTTGTCTGGAGTAGGGAGGGAAGGGAAGCAAGCTAGTTAGTGGAAAGGAGCCGCGGGTCACTCAACTACCCCCCAGATTGGCTAAAGCCGGCTCTGCTTTTGACTTTGGCCTAGCAAAGACTTTAAATCGAGTGAGACTGATTGGGAGCAAAAGCCGATGAGTGCTCGCGAGGTGCTTTTGGGTTGTGTGTGTGTGGGGGGGAACTTGACCCACTTTTAATCGGCCCTGTGTGCAGATTCTCCAGTTCTGCTTTGCACCCCACAGACCGGGGCCATGTAATCTCTCTGATGGACTAACCTGGGACAGGCCGCGTAGCCCCTACACTTTGGGGCGCAGACAGAGGAGTGTCTCCAGTCTGCGACGCAGGGAATACTTAGTGGCAGTGGCAGGCAGCAGTGGGACCTGGGAGAGGGCTGGAGGAAGCTCGGCGGCCTCCCTACTTCTGCTTCCTACTGCTTTCTAGCCTACCACAATTCCAGGGGTCCAGGAACTGTCTGTGCGCACACGGCTGACTACTGCCCACCCTCACTGCTCTGGAAGAAAGCAGCCCAGGGCCGAAACCTCCATGGCAGACAGCCGGGACGTTCCTAGCTAGCTATCTCTAGCTTCCTTGTCCATATATAATATTGATTGGATGTGGCATGAGAGTAAGTGGTCAGTTGCTATCCTTGGATGTGGTAAAGTTTGACCAGGTGGAGGGAAGAAAGGCTTTTCGTTTCAAGGGAAGAAGGTAGTGTGGGACCCGAGCCTTTGGCAGAGCTAGGGCAACAAGGCCGCACTGCTGGGAAATACCTTGGGATTTTATTTCCTGTACCTTTGGAAAAGGAAGGCAGCCAGGAATGACGCTTCGGACGTCCAAAGAAAGAAAAACTGCGTGTTGAGGCCGGCCAAGCTTCGTTTCTGAGGCCAGCATATAAGTTTTATCGGTGACAATTCCCAGTGTGGCGGTACTAGGGCAACCGCGCGAGCGCGAGCCGCAGGAAAAGATCTGTAAAGGGACAGGTTATGGCGTGTTGCATTTGCCAACTCTCAAAAACAAATTCTAAAAGGGATGTGGGCTAAATTATGAAAAGAGAAGGTGTTTTCTTTCTGCTTTGGAACTTGGGGGGAAGTTTCTGAAGTGATTCTAAAGACAGAGAAAACTCTGGGCCGGGCTAGACGACTGTGAGAATCTGGAGGTGGCTGGGCCCGATCACAGACTGGCGGGAATCCACCTAAGGGAACAGTTTTCGGCCTTTCCAGAAAGAGAATTTTCTCCACCTTCTATTGTTCTAGTAACCCAACTCAGGTTAAAGTATCAGCCATTTGAAACTGCAGAGAACTTCTAAAAGATCCCAAACTGATTTAGTGCTTGCATTTTTTTCAAGCTTGCAAGTTAACCAGGCACTGGTTAACACTGTAAATTAGATTACAGAATTCTAAATCTCTTCCTTTAACTTGTCAGTCGAGAAAAGAAAATTCACATACTTTTTTTTTTAACAACTTCCTGAGTTGAAATTACAAAAAATGAATTAGGCCAACTACTTGATTTCAAAAATTGAATAATGGATATTTTTATCTACATAAATCTACATATTTGCTTATCAAAACCTGGGGATTTCTCGGGAGTTTTAAGCTCTTTTGTCTTTCTTTTTAAGGAAGAGTTGGCCAGCTCAGGTCAAATTTCGTGTATCCTTCCTCCAGCCAAACTTGCTAGAAGGAAATGTCCAGCTGTCAAGCCAATGGTTTATTGTATATTTTGAAAAAGTATATTTATCAGTCACTGTGTGACTGCATACTTGGTTATGATTCCATTTTTGCTAGAGATGATGCAAAGATGGTGAGAAAATTAGTGTGTATATTAAACACCCCATTCCAGAACATTTTTAATGCAAGTATAAATTATATCCCAGGTACTCTCTTTCGATGTATTAGAGATCTGTAATAATAGCTGTTATGTAGAATCTCCTGGGTGCCTGTTGTAATAGGTTTCTAAGGTCTGGTCATAAATGAATGTTCTGTGTGTACTCAATTATAACTGCCACCTATAATCCTCCAATGACTTTAAGGCACAGGTAACCTTAATATTTTCACTTTAAAGAGGAAGGACTGAGATGTCTAAAGTTATTTATTCAGGAGTGGCAGACCTGGGTTTGTAACTTAATATTTTTGCAAATGCATTGTTGCACACACAAAAAAATCAGTCATAAGAGGATGCCTCTTCTTAAGGGGAGATGAATGTGTATTGGGGATTCCAAATACTCAAGGATCTCAGGCACCCCCCTCCCCAGTGTACTTTGAGCTCCAACAAATTTCAAACTCACTCATACCTCATTTCCCTCAAGTATAATAAGGAAATTTAGACACCTTTATTTTAATGGAGGCATAGAGAGAGACTTGAAACATAACAGGTATGTTTGGGAAATAGAGCCATGCCTCCCCCCGGCACCCCTACCACACCACCGTATTCTCTGGTAATGCCAAAAACACAGGAAGCTGGAAGGATGCGGCCAAGTGCTCAGAATCAATTCTGCATTTGGTAGGGCTTCAGTTCTACCGGGGAAAGCCAGCCAACGAGTTTGAGTGCTTCCTGAGCTCTGTAGTGACCTTGTTCAACCCTTCTGCTTTTCTGGTCCCCATATACAGTCTGCAAAGTGTTTAAAATGTAACTATTTGCAGAAACATGTGGCTTGTCTGATTTGACACCCACATGGTGCACAATGCGATTAAGGAGTTTCACAATCCTTTTTATGGTTTCGCCGACACTTGCTCGTTTATAAACATTTAGATTCTACCTCTAGGTGCTCTTTTTTTTTTTTTTTTTTTTTTTTTTTAAGATTACAAGCAAAACTTTCGTAGGTTGCTGGTTTTTATAAAGTTTGTCATCGCCCCCGTCCCCCAATCTACAGTTCTTGTTTAGTCAAGAAAATGCTTGAGGAAAGATCCGGAGAAACAATTGAAAAATTAAAAAAAGACGGAGTTTTGTTTTGTTTTTTGAGTCACTCATATTTTCTGGAACCCCAAACCTTGTACTTACAGAATACTCTGGGGGGGAAAAAGAAAGAAAGAAAAGAAAAAAGAAAAGGGGTAAAAAAAAAAAAAAAAGTGCTTGGAGAGTAAGGTAAAAATTGAAGTCCTTCCTGATGAGCAATATGGCCCAGGTCGCAACCGAGAACTCCATGCCCAAGATACTTGCCACTCGCAGCCTGACCTGAACCAAACAAAGGCCCGCTTTGGCTGTACCGCGCGCCCTCAGAAGCCGGGTTAGAGAAGGGAGGTTGCGTTGTTCGCGGTGCAGAAGAAGTGGCAGAAAATAGGAACGCTGACCGCGGCTCTGAAAAACCTGGGATGAACTTCTCTCACCTGTATTTTATTTTCTCTTTCAGGACTGCTGCTGCAGTGACCGGCCCTCTTGCCGAAGCCCTGCTGGAGCCAGCAGCATAGCTTGGGTGTGCTGAAGGCGGAGCGCAGTGACTAGGCACATCCAGCCGGTGGGTGATCCGAAGGTCTGCTCAGGGTGTTCGAGTCCAGCCTCGGCTACGTCCTGGGCACCTCCAGTCTCCCGGCCCTGGAGCGGAGTGCAGGATGCACTACCTTCTGGAACAATCACAAATCCAATTTGGGATTTTTTTCTGAGCAAACCAGAGCCTAGAGGTTGCTCCTCTGATGCTGGATTTGATTTGTATATATTTTGAGCGAGTTGGGCCTCTCCCCGTTGATTTTTGATCTCCGTTTTCGTGACAGTTTACGTACACCTGCATTCTAATTCTTGTCGCTTTGGTCTGCTGTGCCCGCGTGGCTCCTTGACCCGCAAGTGAAGAGAAGACACCAACGCGCAGAGCTTGGGGCGATGTACCAAAGCTTGGCCATGGCCGCCAACCACGGGCCCCCGCCCGGCGCCTACGAGGCGGGTGGCCCTGGTGCCTTCATGCACAGCGCGGGCGCCGCGTCCTCGCCTGTCTACGTGCCCACGCCGCGGGTACCCTCCTCCGTGCTTGGCCTGTCGTACCTGCAGGGCGGAGGAGGGGGCGCTGCGTCCGGAGCCGCCTCGGGTGGCAGCTCCGGGGCCGCCCCATCGGGTGCGGGACCAGGGACCCAGCAAGGCAGCCCGGGCTGGAGCCAGGCTGGAGCCGAGGGAGCCGCCTACACCCCGCCACCCGTGTCCCCGCGCTTCTCCTTCCCGGGCACCACTGGGTCCCTGGCGGCCGCAGCCGCTGCCGCTGCCGCCCGGGAAGCCGCAGCCTACAGCAGTGGCGGCGGGGCCGCCGGCGCGGGCCTGGCTGGCCGAGAGCAGTATGGGCGCCCTGGCTTCGCGGGCTCCTACTCTAGCCCCTACCCGGCCTACATGGCCGACGTGGGTGCTTCCTGGGCCGCGGCCGCCGCCTCAGCGGGCCCCTTCGACAGCCCAGTCCTGCACAGCTTGCCCGGACGTGCCAACCCTGCCCGACACCCCAATCTCGGTGAGTACTGAAGGGCCTTGAGTCCTGTTTGAGGCTTTCAACTCTGTTGGGGTTGGGGCATCCTTGATGCAGTTGAGTCTCCTAGGAAGGAACCTGGAAACGGAGGCTCATGGAGGTGGACCATCCTGGTGATGGGTGGCTTGGCCACTGGAGTCCAGCAGTGCCCTTCTAGAACGGGGTGGCCTGGTTTGCACAGCCTCTGGGTGATAATGAGAGGTGTTGGGCTCTCTAAGGTCAGCTGGAGCAGTCTGGCGATCTGATCCCTGGGATTCAGCCCCCCCCCCCCCCCACTTCCTCTATCCCTTCTTCTGAGTCCTCAGCAAACCTGGGACCATTTGGCAGCCAGGTTAGAGGATCCCTCAGGGTGGCAGATGACTTTTCCGGTAGGGGGTTTTCACACCCGGAAATAAGGAAGAGATCAGTAAAGGAGACCGCCAGAAGTGGGTCAAACGTGTTTTACCTGCAAGTCTCAGGCGCACTGTGGGGTCCTGTGATGCCACTCTCCTGCTCAAACACCTAGGCCAGTGCCTGGGGACAGTACAGAGGGGACAGTACATTCTTTATAATGTCTGAGTTAAATGGAGACTTTGCAAGGTTGCAGCACCTACAGCCGCCTCTTCTTAGGAAGACAATAACGATGGCCAGTAGTATTCCCATTCAGTGTCAGACCTGAAGGGACTGCCAGTTTGCCCCACTTACCCAGTCTACACACGGACATTTCAGAGGGGCCCTAGCCACTGGGGCTTCAGGAGAAAAAGAAAGAGGCTGTCCACTCTCTCAAAATGCCAAAGGAATTCGGGTAGAATTTCTAGAGAGGATTGGAGGTGGCCTTTGGATGGAGCTGGCTCTTGGGGAAGGGAGGAAGCACGGACTTGAGAAACAAAGTTAACATTTATTGACTACCTACTAAGTGCTAAGGCCGTTTGCGTTTGCTGTCACTTTGAAGAGTAAAGTCTGTCCCTTGCCACTCCCAGAGCTAGTTTGTCTCCTGAGTAGAGGCTCAAGCTTTGAAGAGGTTTAAAGTTATTCTCTGACCCTGGGTGGCCATGGAAGGTTCCCAGGAGGGGGGTCTAGCCAAATATACATCCCAGGTAAACTGATTAACCATGGAAGTGGCGCCAGGGCTGGGTTTGTGACTGCCAGTGGCCCCCTCCCTCCCTGCAGGCAGACTGCACCCTGAGGAAGAAGGGTAAGCTCACCCCTGTGGCTCAGACCTTTGAAACAGAGCAGGGTGGTGACTCCCATGGGGTGGAGGCTGGATGTGGGCCTGCAGGGGCTTTGGCCTGCATTCCTAGAAGTTCCCTCTAACCCAACCCAACCACTAGTAAAATAAGAAAGAATAAACTGAGCGTGATGACCCATGACAGTAATTCCAGATCTGAGGAAGACAGCCTGGACTACACAGCAGACCCAGTCTAATTAAAAAAAAAAAAAAAAAAAAAAAAAAAAAAAAAAACTTGGTGTTTGGATCCAGCCAAGAATGAAGTCCCCATCTAAAGATGAAGACAACATTCTGGTATTCAGTATAAAAACAAAACAAAGTGACATTGTGCGACTGTACTTGTGAGCATGGGGCTGAAAAAGGTTCCCCAAATTCCAGGATCCACACAAAGTCAATAAACAATAGGGGGCATCTCTCCTCCTGAGAGCTTATATATTGGGCTCTCATTTCCTACTAGTCAGTTGATGAAGCCCCTGCCTCCAGCTAAGTGTTTAAAGAGGTGCTCTTGGCTTGTCACGAGGGAGCACCAGGCATTTTGAGAACATGTCTTATTCTGATGTATTTGGGGGGAAACACTCATTTTTATTTTTTAATCACACAGGCCTGAGATGATCTGTCAATCTGATGGCATTGCTCCAGTTAAAAGTGTTCTCTGTGAAGTTTCCTTCTTTAGCTCCATTCCAAGACAGAAGGACAAACACAGTCCCCGACATAGGCTGGGTAAAGAAAGGTTTAACCGTGAGAGACAGACCCAGGCGCTGTCCCTTCGTATGCTTTGTATACTGCCTTGCCTATGCATAGACATTAGTAAATGCTTGGTAGCTTTAGTGAGAATCAATGATCAAACTAGCCAACGGTATCAAGAGACGGAAGGGTAGAAAGAACAGGTTCTCTCATGTTTATTGAGAGGTCCTCTTTGGAGGGATGTCATGACCATCAAGCTCATTTGGAGCCCCCCCCCCCCCAACCTCAGTATCACGTGACTTTAGGCAAGTTACCTACTTCTGTCCATCTCCTCTCATATTCTGTAGGGTGGCTTCAGTTCAGCTCAACTGCTTTTAGAGTTGTCCTGACTTTGGTGGTCTGTGTGATGTCTAATAATTGATCTTTTATAAATGATGGCGTTTTATTACTTTTTCGAGGACTAATGGGCTTCCTAGGACTTGAGAAGTATTAAGCCTAGGACAGTCCCTGATGAGCAGGTTACCCTAAATAGACATGAAAAAAATGTATAAATGACTCACAATGTGGTAAGGTAAGGGGTGGTGAGCTGAGAGCAAAGCTGAGAAGTCAGGAAAGAAACTTCCCTCTGAAAGCATGGAAATCTCCTACGTGGTCCCATCTGCCCTGGGTCTTGTCACATCAATAGAAGTTTGCCAGGAAAGGAACCTGAACCCGCAGTTTAAAAAAGGAAGGGAGAAAGACAGCACTCCCTTACTCGATGCTTATGTAGAACTGTAATAACATACTACAGCTTGTGCTTTGCTTCAATAATAGATTCATCTCTACGGGGTAAATTTCAGAGACTAAATTCCTGAGTTTGAAATGTTTTTAATTTGTATTGAGGAGAAATAAGAAAATACCATTATTCTTTTCTATGAGATTGTACTTTTGTGCTCTTAACAGTTAACATCTAGCAAGTTCTTATGTTGGCTATTGGAATAAGGCAAAAATCAAAATGATAAATATCAACAGGGGCATGTGAAAAGATGACCTTGGCAAGAAAGAAATTATTGCACCATGACTGTAATATATGTGAACTTCAGTTCGTTCCAAGTTCAACAGACCCAGGACCCTGAAGCAATTGTTAGAAGCATTAATTAGACACAATAATGGAATTCTATGACCTTACTGAGGCAGGTACAGAGTCTTACTCATATATAGGTGCCTGGCACATGCTGGGCAAGTAGCAAATATTTGAGCAGAGATCTGGAAGGTAATTGCCCCAGGACTCTGCCCTGCCCTGGTCAAACCACACAGAATGGCTACCTGTGTCCTTTAAGAAGCAGACTAGAGCTGGGTGTGGTAGCACACACCTGTGACCCCAGCACTCAGGAGGCTGAGGCAGGAGAATTGAGCACTCAAGACTGGTCTGAGCAACATAGCAACCCAATGCATTAAAAGCAAGTAAAAATAGAATGGGAGAGTCTGGGAGAAGAAGTGAGCAGGACGGGGGAGCGCCCTGAAAACCTGGGACCACTGGAGAAAGCTGGGCTGTATGCCTGGTGCCAGGAGTCAAGGGTGGAAGCTAGAAGAGGGTATCAGATGTCCTGGACCTGGAGTTAAGTGCACTTGTGAGCCACCGTGTGGGTGCTAGGACTCAAACCCAGGTCCTCTGCAAGGGCAGTAGTGGTCTAAACTGCTGAGCCAACTCTCCACCCTGAGATACACTCTTAAAATAGGAGACTGTCATTGTATGTACAACACATCACAGTCTAGTTGATTTTTGTACCCGTTAAGTCTTGTATAGACTTAAAGCCAAAGAGAGAGAGAGAGAGAGAGAGAGAGAGAGAGAGAGAGAGAGACAGACTAAGAGGGAAATTAGACATAAATAGACCTTGATCGGCATGCCATGCTGGGATATCTAAGAAATACAACTTTCTAGGGGAGAGTACTTCTCTTGTGTCTTAGCGAAATAAGCAACCCTACTATTCTTAAAGGATCTTTAAAAAAAAAGGAGTTGTTAGAGGGCTCAATGAGACTAACAGAAGGAAGTAAATGTGTGGTTTGCTCAGTGCTTTTGAAACAAGTGAAAAGCGTTGTTCCATCTCGCATGGGGTGGGGCCCTCAAGGTGTTAGGTCAGCAGAATATGCTGTAGTGTTTGCTGGCTCTTTGGGGGACTGCTTTATCAACTAGGCCAGTTGCTTTTAGAGCCAGTTTGCTTAAACAGGGAATGCTGTGATCTCTGAAGTAGCCTGTTCAGCTCAGGAATGATTTGTCAGTCTTCAAGAAAATCAAAGTTGTTTAATTTTCCGGTTACCACCCTGAGCTGGTCAATCAGAGGGGGGACTGGTTTTTAGTGCTAAGTAGAGAACCAATTAAATAAAGAAGGTGTGTTGGAGTGGCCTGGGGTGTGTCTCTGCCTCTAGTGACACTTGTCACTTGCCAGATTGTGTCCCATGAAAAGGTCAGGCCACGTTTGCTGGTGGAATGATGTTCAGGAGACAGTTTTAGATAACACCTTCTTCTGTTCCCCTCGGTGTTAATTTCCCCCCTTCTTCTTTAAATGCAGGAAGAAAACAAATATACTGTGAGGTGTGGGGGACAGGAACTCTGATACCTGTGGGTGGGAATGTTCATTGGTGCAACCTTTGTAGAGTCCTTGGTAAACCAGTCAAATCACAGAGCAGATAGCTTTGACGCTGAACTTTTGACTGCAAACAATTAGTTCTGGGGTACATATTCATGACTTTGTCATCCACAATAACAAAATCCAGAAGTAACATAAATGTTCACCAGAAGGGTGTTGTCTTCCTCTCTCTCTCTCTCTCTCTCTCTCTCTCTCTCTCTCTCTCTCTCTCTCTCTCTCTCTCACACACACACACACACACACACACACACCTGTGCATAGACGGTGTTGGCAGTGGTTATTGGACCCCATGAGATCCTTTCCAAGCAACTTGGAAGTGCTGGAGGTGTGTGCAGCACTTGGTATCAGAAATGGGGGAATACAATGTATTCATTTGAGAATACACACATTATCTCTAGAAGCCTCTCTCAGGCCATATAGGTAAGGAATTTGTAACATTGTCTACCGGGAGGCCCAAGGGGTAGAAG